TTCTCTATAGCTAGATGAGGAGAACACTTGTGATATACACAGCACAGAAACTCATGGAGGGAGCAAGCATGCAACTGGAGAGCTGCATCCCAGACCTCTATGTCCTGTATCCTCTCAGTGCGTGGTAGGTGCTAAAAGCCAAGAAAAACTCACAGAAACAATCTTTTTGTAAAGGAAAAGGTAGACGAATCCTTTCTCTGACCCCAATTCTATTCCCCAGAGAGAACTGGGAAAGCAATTATGTCTGAGTTTTAGATGGGAGAATCCAGGTTAAGTTCCACAAGGAATTAACAAATAAAATTAGCTAAAAACACTACTGACGGGGCACTGCCTTGCTAGACTCTGGTGTGGCCATGTGCTCTTTGAGCTATGGCTGTCGCCATGCTTCCTGGCTTTGGCCTTCTGTCCCCCTTCTCTTTCTTGCTCTGATTTACTTTTAAGTAAACTATATTTTTAATCTGAAAAAACCACAGTACTGACTTCCATTCCCCGTATGTTTATGGTACTAGGCGACATATTTGGGCATGCCTGTGTCTTTCTACCACTGCTCCTCTGCACACCCTTGTCCTTTCCCTCCTCTCGTCACAACCATTCAAGTGAAGGATTCGAAGGACACGCTTCCTTGTATCTCTCTGGCTACCCCGTATGGCTCACCTCACTATGCCTCCACACTTTTTACTCTCCTTCTCATTTCAGATGGTGATTGTCTTTGGGTAGGTCTTATCTTTCTTCTAAGACAGCAAGTGCCTTGGAGACAGGATCTGTGTTTGACTCAAATTCCCAACTACAGATAGTATCTGACATTGTCCCTTTCACATATTAGTTACTCAATAATGCTTGCTTAATTAATAAATGCAGTAAAAATCTGGCCAAATACCTGAAAAAATCAGCAAACAACTGATGTTTTGCTTTCAAAGATGTGAACATGTAAGTCCTATTTCTAAAACGAAGATTACACCCATTCATTGTGGGCAGATGCTGTTTTTTGAGAGGACCTCTCCAACTGGGAATGCTGTTACATGGGGGACAGACAGAAAGGAGCTCTGCCATGATGTGTGTCACCAGAACAAGGCAGGGGGCCTGAGACAGTTGTCCCTCCATAGAACCCCTGCCCTCATAAACTCACAAGAATGGGAATCAAGTAGGAAACATTGCCTATGTTTTTTTTCTTTTTCAATAAATGTGAACTGAAATTTTAAAAAGCACAAGCCTCACATAAAAGCTTCTTCATAAAGCCAGCTTAACACCACAGACAGAAGCAAGGCAGCTGAGCATCGTTATTATGGACACAGTAAATCAGGCACAAAAAGGGGCAGCCCAGCAGGGCGGCATGAGGGTAAGATGCACACTTAACCCCTGCACACACCGCTGCTCCATTCCCCCATCACAGGCCTCGGCAGCCCGCGCCGAGTGTGTCATGGATGTAACAGGCCGTTTTCAATCTAAATCTCGTTACAGATTAATAAGCAAACATTTTCTTGCTTATTATGCAATTTATCATGATGAAAATTACATTGGACTCCTCAAGGCTACATGCTGATACACTCATTTATTCAGAGCTGTGTATAGAAAGTCATACTAATCTTCATGACAGAAAAGGATGTACCAGCAAGATGTAAACTGCCTACCGAGAACTACAGTATTTGTGTCTGTGTACATATACATGTAGATAAGACATAAGTGTATCTTTACGTTTGCTGATATAAGACTAACGTAAATTTATTTGAAAAAAAAAAGATCAAATACTGACTCTAAAATAAACCTATCACTTCTCCTCCCAGGAGACAAAACAGTACACATCATGGTGAAGCTGTGTTCAGATCAGATTTGAAAACAAGTTCCAAAATTAGGTCAAAGCAACATTTTGGACCATCAAAAAAAAGCTTCTCGAGATAAACCAGGAGAGTGGCAGTAACAGAAGCCAGCACTATTGGCGCCTGGGAGGGACATGGCAGCTGCAGCCACGTGGAGGGCAGAGGTTGAAAATATGTTCTGAGGCTTTGCACAAAGGCCAGCTGCCTTGTACTGTTGGTGCAAAATCACAGGCTCACGTTCTTAATCCTCCAAGTCAATCAAGGTCCTTCAAGTCTGCTAAATCCAGAATATATCCTGGCTATCACTACGCTAAACTGCTCATTCTGAAATGGGCAGCTATAGATCTACTGAACACAGGATCATTTTTTTTGAGTTGGAATCTCACTCTGTCACACAGACTGGAGTGCAGTGGCACGCTTGTGGCCACCGCAGCCTAGATATATTGGGTTTAGGTGATCCTTCTGCCTCAGCCTTCCATGTAGCTGGAACTACAGACGCATGCCACCAAGTCTGGCTAATTTTTGTGATTTACCATAGAGACGAGGGTTCATCAAGTTGCTCAGACTGGTCTCGAACCCCCGGGCTCAGGCAATCCTCTCGTCTTCGTCTCCCAAAGTGCTGGGATTACAGGCTGAGCCACTGGACCCAGCTGAACACAGGATCATAACAATGGCATCACCACGGGCAGGACCACCATGGGCAGGACCACCACGTAGGTAGCCATTTAATCTCACAGCATGTGATAATGAGTCTTCTAAGCATTTTGAAAATATAAACTCATTTAACGTCAACCTTATGAGATAGGTACTTTAATTTGCCCCAACATGTAGGTACAGAGAATTGAAGTGATTAACTGGCAGGCACACAGCTGGGGGCACCTGGAGGCAAGGTTCAGGGCATGGTGGCAGGACAGGAGGCAACAGGAGAGGGCGGATGCCTGCGTTTGAAATGGGTACCCTCCTCCTACCAGTCAGTCTTGGGACTTCGAGCTGGGAACGGCCAATCTGTAGATAAAGCTACAGCATTCCTCTTAGCCTTCAGTGGCTTCCCTGGTCTCCACTTTCTGAGTGTAGAACAGTCGGCAGAAAGACTATAAATCCAAAACAACTGGAATCTAAGGGATTTGTGGAGTATGAGAAAAGCAACTGTGAAGAAAAGGGCAGAGAACTCTAGTTTTTTAAAAGGTTAACAATGACAAGAACGAAATGCCATTCATTGAGAAAATCACAGTGGTGGTAACATTTTCATTAAGGGAGGCATCCTGGGGCAGTTCAAGAATTCCTACCACTTCATATCCACGAGGATGACTATACTTTAAAAAAGGGGAGGGGGAAGAAAGAAAAGAAAGAAAAAAAACAAGTGCTGGCGAGGATGCAGAGAAAATGAAACTCTTGCATGTTGCCGGTGGGAATGTAAAATGCCGCAGCTGCTGTGGAAGACAGTTTGGTGGTTCCTCAGTAAGTTAAACACGGAATTACCAAATGACCCGGTAATTCCACTCTTAGCTACTCAAAGAAATGAAAATATTCAAGAGGCGTCCTCTTGGCATAAACTCTGTTTTCTAAATGTAAACCCATTTTTACTGTCATTTTAAAAATCCAGTAGGTTTCAGGGTATTGTTAAGATGTTGACTACAGATACAACTATGTAAATTTCACTGTGTTTTATTTTGAGATGACAGTTTTGTTATAGTTTATAAAAGATATTTTCCTATTTAGACCTCAGGGCTATTTTGGGACCTTCAAATAAATGTGAACACCAGCAGCTTCAATTTTTTTTTAATTTTTTATTTATTGTAGAGATGAGGTCTTGCCACAGCTTCAATTTTTGATATTCAAAAGGTTAATAATCTTTCAGTTAAACATGTGATATTATTCAGCAGAAAGAATGTGTTTCTCCCTTTTGACATCTAACAAACACTGTATCTAATATTTTTAAAGTACAGAAAAAAGATGCAATATAAAATGGGGAGATTGTGGGTAAACAATTAAAAATCATTTGCAAAATAAACATATTCTTATGGTAAAGAAAAGAAACAAAAACAGGTGTTCAAATATATACTTAGACACAAATGTTCATAGCAGCTCTAGTCACAATAGCCAACAGGTAGAAATAAGCCAAATGTCCATCAGTGGATAAATGGATCAACAATATGTGATATAATCATGAATGGAAGTTATAAAAAGAAATGAATCACCACTGTATGCTACAAAATGGATGAAACTTGTAAATGTTATGCTAACCAAAGAAGTCAGCCACAAGACCATAGACTGCATAATTCTGTTTATATGTGATATCTATGCAACTTTATAGAGACAGAAAGCAGATTAGTGGTTGCCAGGGGTTGGTAGGCACAGGGAACAGGGAAAGAGTGCTTAATTAAGGCTGTGGGGTTTCCATTTGGGGTGACCACGATGGCGACCTGGATAGCGGTGATGGTTGCCCAACACTGTGAAGGTACTTAATGCCACTCAATTGTACACTTTAAGATGGCTACAATGATGCATTTCACATTATGTGTATTTCACACACACATATACAACTCGTCCTGGAATCAGGAGGCTGAATTGTCAATCCAGCACTAACCTCTACCACCATGCCCAGCACCGCTACCCATCAGTCCTTGCCAGCTGGCACCAGGTGTGTTTCCCATCCGTTTCTCTTCAGCAGTTCCCTCAGCTCATCTTCCTTTGGCCTCATTCTCTCATCACCGCTTCTCTGGATCACTACAAACTAGGCATGGATGGTCCTTTACTGTCCGCAAATGAAATCTCAACAGTTGATTTGGAAATTAAAATGAGTGTGGAGGAGTAATTTCCCAGTTTGGCCAAGTATTCTGGCATTCAAACATGTTTAAACAAGTATCAAGTCTATATACCATTTTCATCAAAAACACAATGCATATATTATCCTTAGCTAGTAGTATCTCCTGGTATAATACACATGGCCTGAAAATGATGCCAGAGGTCATTCATTGACTCTGTGCTACATCTCAAATAAGTGGAAATAACTGAAACATGTTTCCTGTTCATTGTCCATATCCAACACTTCATATATTGGATGTTTTGTCTGTTTTCTGTCTATTAAACACAATTTATAAAGAGTAATCAAAGAACTGTATCAAAGAAAAAACCCTCAGACAAAGGAACAACAACAAATTAAATGAACTGGAATCCTGCACATACTTGGCAAGTTGCTTCTCAGCATCGGCACAAAGTTCGAGAAGCCCCATCAGAACGGCAGACACATCCATGTAAGGCTCCCAGACGGTGAAGCCTCGCCCAATCAGGTCAATGGCTGTTCTTCGGATCGTGCTGTGTGGAGGAAGTTTGGGACTTGGTGGCTGCAGCAGAAGAAATGTCAGTGCTTTGCCTAAAATCACAAAAGAAAACAGAGCAATAAAGTGATTTTACTTTTGTGAGCTTTTTGAAGCGTACTTTCAAAATATAAACCATTTTGAGGCCAAGCTTGGTGGCTCAGCCTGTAATTCCAGAATTTGGGAGGCCGAGGTGAGTGGATTGCCTGAGCCCACGGGTTCGAGACCCGCCTGAGCAACTTGGCGAGATCTCATCTCTACAATAAATCAAAAACAAAATTAGCCGGGCATGGTAGCGTGCGCCTGTAGTTCCAGCTACTTGGAAGGCTGAGGTGGAAGGATTGCCGGAGCCCAGCGGGTCGAGGCTGCGGTGGCCGGGAGCGTGCCACTGCACTCCAGCCTGGGCGAGACTCCAACTCAAAGACAAAAATAAAAATAAAGAAACCATCTTGAATTTTTTTAACTGAAAAGGGTTCTGAATCTTGAGTATGAAAGATCCCAAGTTTATAGTTTGTTCAGCCATACTCTCTAAAAAAAATTTAAAAATTACACTACAATGTTTTATACCACAGGCTAAAGCATCTTAATTACGTAATAATAATGTATAAATGAGTATGCATACAAGTATGACTGCAAAAACATATCAGTGACCCTAAATTCCCACCACTGTTTCTGCCGACTCAGCATTCTGCCAAATGGGGATGGTGTCAGACAATGTAGTCTGGTCCAGTCCGCCTCAATCTTTCCTCGGCATCTAACAGAGTTCACATGTACAGTACTTCCCGTCAGTAACGCTCTCACCACAGGCAATGTTGGGATGAAGGTAGAACGTGTAGCTGGAAAAGGTCTCCCTCCCTAAGAATCCAGTTTCCTCCGTATTCAGGCACAAAGACGGATCACGTACAAGGACGTCAACTATGTGGCAAGTTCTTCATACAAGTTAAGCAAGTTAAAAGCTCACTATTACTTCTAAATCTGATAAAAAGCGATCCAGATTTCAATTAACACGATTCCCTTATATTGATGATGATGTTGACAGGTGGTATTCTTAAGCCTAATGGCTATTAAGCTACAAAAGCCCACTACTCCAAAGGCAGGGAAAATAAAAAGCAAATTAATTTAGAATAGATTTGCCTGTTTGTTTGTATGATTAAGTGGCGGGGGTGTGGGCATAGGCTTCAGAAGTAAGGTAGGTAATTAACCACAGTTTCATAAGGTGCCAGGGGCGGGCTTAGGAAGGGACTCACTGAGCCTCAAGTTCCCAATCTATATAATGATAACACAACAGCTACCTCTCATGATGCCTGAGTGTCAAATGAATTTATGCTGCACAGCGTACTGCCAAATGCCCAGGCCTGCAAAGTGCTCAGTACATGACGGGCAGGGCTCAGCATGAATACCCATTAAACTCAGCTGTTTTCTGCAATAAGGACCTGGTGTATAAACTTTAATATACTTCAAACCAACAAAAGCATGTCCTCATTTTCCTGTTATGGACAATTGTTAAATGAGAACAGATTGAAATGCAAGTGAGATGTGAAAAGCATTGTAAAGCCTGAATGAGAGTCTATAGATGCATTCTATAAATTGGTGGTTCTGAATTTCTTCCCAAACCCTTTAAGAATCCATTGAAAGCCAGGCTCGGTGGCTCAGCCTGTGATTCCAGGGCTTTGGGAGGCCGAGGCGAGTGGATTGTCTGAGCCTGTGGGTTGGAGACCCGCCTGGGCAACTTGGCGAGACCTCATCACTACAATAAATCAAAAAGCAGCCGGGCGTGGTAGCGCACGCCTGCGGTTCCGGCTACTTGGAAGGATCGCTGGAGCCCAGCAGGTCAAGGCTGCAGTGGAGCGTGCCACTGCACTCCAGTCTGGGCGACAGAGTGAGACTCCAACTCAAAAAAAAAAAAAAGAAAGCCATTAGTACGCTCCCCAGAAAACTGCATACATACAAATCCACTAAATTGTGCAGAAAAATTTCAAGGCGGCCATAGACCTTGGCTTAACAACTCCCACAGTAAACTAGGAAGGTACATATATATGAAGTCGCCTTGAGAAAACATCCCAAAATTCATACTTCATATGTGTATTTGTAAATTTCATTCTCATGTTTAACCATATAAACATAGTATGTAAAGCTTTTTTTTTCTTCTTTTTGAGATGGGGCAGGGTATGGGGGTATCTTGCTATGTTGCCCAGGCTGGTCTAGTCTCTAACTCTTGGACTCAAGTGATCCTTCTGCCTCAGTGTCCTGAGTAGCTGGAATTAGAGGTGTGCATCACCAACCAGCTTCATGTTTTGCTTTTGGATCCAAAAAATAATAAACTCCTTAAACTCCTTAAAAAAAAAGTGGCCTACGGTTCTCTACGTTCTGGCAGCACTTATGTGTCCCTTATCACGAAGATTTCTGTGTGTTACCCTTTTCCTCTCTAGGTTTGTAAGCTCTCCGAGGTTACTATACGAAACTGTGTTTCGCATAATTTTGCATCTTCCAAGCCACTAAGCACAGAGCATAACACACATTATTTACCTAAAATGAAAAATAGATCCGCCTTTATTATATGCACAATTCTAATGCAGTTCCCTGCCCCAGTTTGTCAGAATGATATTTCAAAACGTCAAGAAATCTGCCACTTTCCTGTTTACCTTGCCTTTCCAGGAAGTTATAAGAGCTGCAGAGAAACTCCAACGGCTGTTCCTGCAGACATTCTGAAACACTAGCAGCAATAGCTCCCAATCTAAGCAGCAAGACTCCCTGGAGGTGTATCCTTAGTGAGTAATATTGCAAAGGTGAAGTAAAGTTTTATAAGCACGATGTTTCATAGCGTTCCAATTATACTTCTCCTTAACTGCACTCTACTGTTTCTGTATTCACGGCAGGTAGGAGTGTTGGGGCAACCCTAGGGACTCGGCTGGTTTCCAAGGCCCTCTGAGGTGCGAGCTCTAAAGGCAGCTTGCTCACCACTCCGACAATGTTTGCTGGAGGGCGAAACCCGGCCAGTTTCTTGATCTTGTCCACCGCTGCTCTGACGGGGCGAAGGACAGCACAGGGATGTGGACACCTGCCCGCCAGTGAGACGACAGAACAGGGAGAATCAGTGAGGGTTCTCCAGAAGGCCTGGCCCAATGGCCTCCCAGAGTGCATGCCGCTTCTCTGCCAAGCACAAGTCGCCCCTCACGGTGAGGTGGCGCGGCGCAGCAGCAAAAACGGGGTCCTCTGAGCCCTGCCCCTCCTCACCTTGAGACATTTTCTATTTCACTCAGTGACCTCATAATTAAGCTTCCCCATGCACTATTTCTCCCTTTTTATTTCACAGTACAGTCTTGGGGTAAGGCAATGACCCCTACGCTCTGGCAGGCCATGAGCAGGGCATCCAAAGGAGAAGAGAAAAAGAGCCGACTTAGCACACATTTTAAGTCTACTAGTAAGAGGATGATGGTTTCTCTTTCTCACTGAGCTGTTTTGGAATGATAAAGACATACAAATGGAAAATTCTACGTTTGTCTCTGACAACTTTTTTCAAACAAAGCATATGTATGGACATTAGTTAAAAAGGATTTTCAAGTTAAATCTGTATCTTTTTTGAGTTTACCACACATGATTTTTCATAAACCTTTGACACTCAGTAAAAGTTGTATTTTTTTTTTTTTTGAGTTGGAGTCTCACTCGGTCACCCAGACTGG